CTATAAACGTAAGTTGTCCAAATTTTGTTTCAACAGAAACTCCCAAAGTTTCAAAAACTTTGGTTTCAAATGAAGAAAGAATTTTATGTTTGATTCGTCTATGAATAATGATGGCAACGCCACCACAGGGTCCATCAAGACGATCATTTCTATAAATCAAGTAATTTGCGTCCTTCTTAACCTTATGGTCAGGTTTAAGGAACGTTTCAGTTATAACGGCAATATGCACGTTATGAACTCGCAAAAAGTTAAATAGCTCGTCTTCATTATCTTTAAGAGATCGAGCATTCCAATTTACAATATTTAATGCTTTAAAATCCATTACTGAATTTTAAAGTCATGACAATATTATTAGCAAATTTTACTCCAGTTTGAATAGCATCAAACATGGAGTTAGATTTAAGCATATCAGAAATCATGTCAATTAATGAATTCTGTAAAAATTCCATTTTAGGAGCAGTAATGCTTCCTAAGTCAAAATTGTCAAAATTGTCAAAATTTCCGTTAGAACGTTGGTTAGTATTTTGATTTTTACCCGCTGCAATAGCAGCATAGGTAGCTCCATTAACTCGCTGAACATTGTTAGCAGCGAGGGGAGTAGGTACAGATGAAACATTTGAAGCAGGGGTGATATTTGTACCTACGGGTACGAATGTAGAATTTGTTCCTCGCTGACCGTTGTTAACAGCAGAGGAATTTGTACCTGGTCGGAAACGTGGAGCGTTTCTTACCTGTCGGTTAGAACGAGATTGTAGGATCGCTTTGCGAGTCTTACATTCCCAAAAATTGGATTTGTGGTTTTCACCATAATTTGAACATTTAAATTTCTTAGGATCTTCCTTCACAGGACAGTCGTCCTTTGCGTGAGAGGAATCACCACAATTCATGCATTTAGCTGGCATGTAGCAATTTTTAGTTCCGTGACCCCATCCCTGGCACTTACGGTACTGAGTGAGGTTTTGAAAATTTCCTCCAGTCTTCCTGAAGTGTTCCCACTTCACTCGGACATGGAGCATAAGGCTAGCTTTTTCTAAGGCCTTAAGGTTGTTTAGTTCACTAGACTTGAAGTGAACTAAATAAAAATCATTAGAAATCCCGTTGCGCGAATCGACAGGACGGGATTTCATTTTCTTTTTGATTACGTGGAGTGGCACAACTCCAAGTAATTTTGCCAGTTCATCTTTGATCTGATCCAGGCATTCACCACTGGGCAGTCCTTTCATGACAACCTTGAACACACGTTCAGTTTTGGTGTCGTAAGTAAAAAATTTGTGCTTCTTCTCATTAAGATACTTGAGAAGACATTTAAATCCATCCAAGGTTTCAGCCAATACACGGCATTCACCCCGACGTCCAATTTGTAGTGAAAACTTAACTTTCACGAAATTCAAAAGAGCATGGAAATCGGTAGTGGTTATCACAATAGGGGGAATCTTTTCCTTCTTGGCATTAAGCCGGGAAAGTTTACTAGAATTTTTCTTGGATAATGGATCATTCTCATCATCCGTGAGCAAATCAAATTGATTACTCAAATTAATTTCTTCAGAAGGGGGGTCAAGAGTTTGCCCCTTTCTTTTGCGTTTAGGCGCCATGGCGGCAGTAAATTTTTTATCCAAATCGACTTCCAAGCAGATTACTATAAGAATCTGAAGGATCGAAGAGGAATTTTCCAAATCGATATCCAAGAAGGATTACCTCGGGTAGGGTCCAAACAAGGATCGAAGAGGAATAAGAGGAGTTGAACAAGGTAGAACATTTTTACAGGTTGAGCACTGAAAAGTGCTGTTTAAATTTGTTGTAGCTTTAGGTAGTAGTAACACTTCCTTAAGCAAAAAGCAAATAGATCCGCACGGCAAGAGAGCACGATGCGGACTGATGATGTTTGGTACGATAATTTAGTTAATAAGCTTCCGAACGAAGTGAATGAGAACGCGTGATATAAAGGTTTGCACCAATTATTCCCAAAAACAAAAGCTCCGACCGAATCAATTTTTATCTTCATTCGATAGGCCGAAGTGAATTCATTGGCGTTTCAATGCGTTAGACCGAATTGAGAATCCGTAGGCCGAGTTTGACGTCAAGAAGCAGTGTTAGACTTTTAACAATATCTCAACGAGTGGTTTCTCTTTGTCAAATCTTACGATACGTACGGAAAGGTAAATAAATTTGGAAGCCATCAGTATTAATAACATTCCGTTTAGTGCCAAACTTCACTAGATTAAATAAGAAAGACTAAGTGCGGGTTGTGCTTAATAGGCCGGAAATGGCGTAATTAACCCTATCTTACGTCAATTGACATTGTTGACAGCATGCAGCACTAGTGGTTAACATCTATATTGCCGTTCTACGCATATGTGTCCCATGTTCTAAAAGTAATATGTAAGGAAATCGCGAATAATGTTTCGAACCATTTCTGCTCATGGGAAGATATAAAAGTTAAAATAAGTTAGTGCATTGTTCACATTTCAACAGAATCAATTTGTTATGAAGTAGGAAATTCTACGCATATCAGTCCCACTAAGAACTATTACTTTCCGTGTTGCTTTGATGGCCACGTTGCGTTTGACGTCTTTACTCGTGTGGTTGTGGTTGTGTTTACATGAGCATGCTTGAATTCTCCTCGAAGTTTTGAAAGTAGATAGTTTGCATAGGTTTGCATCATTAACTGAAACCAGCAATAAGTGCGTTGAGATTGAGTAATCGTCGTTTGCTACATCTATAAAGCCTTTAAAGTATGGGCACAGACAAACAGACGTAACTCTTTGAAAAACTTGTTCTTGAAAACATAGTATCTCAAAATATATAACCTCAGTAACGACATCTCTCTGGCTTCTCGCAGAAAACAAGCTTGCTCACTAACTCGTAAACAATATTGCATAAAAGTTCTATAGAATATATAGAAACGTCAAAGTGATCCGATGCCAGCGCTGCGGCGAGTAGTTCGCGGAACTGATAATATTCAAATCAACCGTTAAATGCATGAACGAAGATACACAATGAAGAGTTACGTCTGTTTGTCTGTAGTATGGGCATCATGAGAAACAAATGATGAATGCTCTGTATAGAACACAATAAGTTTGTCGATTGTGGACTTCGATGAGTTCAAGAAAGACTTTGGAAAAGTTAACATACACAGTAAGGATCTCTTCCGTACGGAGTTGTCCTTTATACTGCGTATTATATTCAACCAAATGCATCCACGGCAGTATATTGAGGACATTCTAACGAATAAATTTACGAAAGGACGATACGACAACGGATTTTCTGAATCAGTCAACAGAAACCTTATTTTAACTACAAAATATGGTAGCAGCTATGATGAATGAACACATAAAGTGACAGAATGTTCCAGCATTGTTAACTGCGTTGCTTCGAGTTGTTTTTAGATAATAATACGTACTTTTTAATTCTGCCAACATCGTTGCTACATACAATTGAATTTTAAATCATGGTATTTTGTCTTTGATTTATTTCAAGATCGTTACACTGCTTCTTATCAATTGATTATTATTACTCTAATAATGCACAGCTTGAAATATGAACTATAATCTGGTGTTTTAATATGAATTCCCGTTTCTCTTAATATTTTTAATATAAAGCTTCTAAAGGGTATCCACGATGAAATTGCCACACACAAAATTGATTCGCAAAATTCGAGTTTTCATCCGATTGCCATCAAATTTTCAGGGATCGAGAAATAACTATTAAACTTCATTTTACCATTTTACTCGTATTTTATTTACAGTCCATACGCAAATGCCTGCACCTTGGCCTTAACCCCGGCCATAAGATTCTGCACAAACTGTGAATCAACCGTTTTTTGCATGTAAACCCATACTTTCTTCAGTTCCTCGACTGTCTTCACTATCTTAGGTCGTTTAAGAAGGTGCTGCTTCATAATCGCCCAGTACTTCTCGATGGGGCGGAGCTCCGGAGTGTTGGGAGGGTTGAACATTTTCGGCACGAAATTGACCTTATTGTCCGCATACCACTTCAGCACGTCCTTGGAGTAGTGGCATGAGGCCAAATCCGGCCAGAAGATTGTTGGGACGTTGTGGGCCTTCAGGAGAGGAAGCAGCCGCTTCTGGAGGCACTCTTTTATGTACACCTGTCCGTTCATCGTGTCCTGGGTCACGAAAGGTGCACTCCGCTTCCCGCACGTGCAGATGGCTTGCCAAACCAGGAATTTCTTCGCAAATTTGGACATCTTCTGAGTGCGGACATGCTCCGGAACGCTGAACTTATCCTTGACCGTGAAAAACAGGTTGCCGGGGATCTGTTTGAAGTCGGCCTTCACATATGTTTCGTCGTCCATGATGCAGCATTCAACTTTCGTCAGCATGTTGAGGTACAACTTCCTGGCACGGGTTTTGGCGGACTTGTTCTGCTTCTCGTCGCGATTAGGGGCCTTTTGTACCTTGAACGTTCGAAGCCCAGCCTTAGTTTTGGCCTTCTGGACAAAACTTCGGCTTAGGTGCAGCTTCTTAGCCACATCCCTAACGGAGGCGTTCGGATTTCGGTTGAAGGCCCCAACTACGCGGTTGTAATTTTTGGTGTTGTACGGAATACTTTTTCCTTCACTTCTGGGCTTCCGATCGGTGGTCAACCGTTCCTCGAACCGCTTAATCACTCGCGACACCGTGGAATTCGCGATTCCCAACGTTTTAGCGATGGAACGATGCGAGAGATCCTTGTTCTCGTGATGAATGCGCAAGATTTTATCACGCACGAGCTGTTCTTTCGACTCCATTTCCGCGAGTTTTGATCACAGGACTTTAAAACTTGCAGGATGTAAATAATGCACTATGAACTAAATCCACCCAAATTTTCATTAAATTCTACCCAATGGTTAAAAAGTTAGAGCAATTTCATAGTGTGGCAATTTCATCGTGGACACCCTTTACTTCCCGAAATGACTCATTCAGTTCTTTTTGATCGTTACCTAAAAAAGTACTGATTTTTTGAACAAATGTAAAAACATCCGTAGAACGGCAGTATATCTCTCACGCCAAAGACAAGAATTCAAATCTCATCCCGGACATAACCTATAATAGCTTAAGGATATGTTAATGCTTTCTTCATCATAATAAACTTCTTCCTATGTGTTTCAGCAACAATAGAGGCAACTTTATTGAACATCAGCGGACGAATATCTTACACAAGCATAGGTCAATTTCAAACACAACTCCAAATAATTCTACCCAATCAACTGCAACTTGGCAAACAACGCCAGCACTGCCGCACCCACACCGGTCATATGGGTTGAACATTCCGTCGTCAGGCGATTGGTTCCCACCCGATCCCGGTCCTGATAGTACTTGAAACATCCGTTGCCATTTTGCCAACCAACGATTTCGCCAAGCCATGTTTGGTTCCGGAATTCGGCGTATCCCACGTACGCGCACAGGAACACCTGCTCCATGAACAAATCGCGAAAGATCTCCGGATAATCGAGCTCCGCAATCAGCTGCGATTCGCGTAGGATCTGCTCGCAAAGCTGGTCCGTTGCGGTCACCACAAATTCCTGCTGGATGTTAGTGAAGTGTTGCTTGCCCAAAATCAGGTAGAACAGCAGTCTGCAGAGTGATTATTTTATATTTATTAATTTCATGTTTTGTTCTGTATGAACGATCATTACTTATGAGTGAGATGATAACCGTAGGACTTCTTCCTAAGGGACATCGCATTGCTGCATTCACGGCTCAACAGAAGCGGCTTTAGATGTGGTTGCCGTTCACCTGGCGGCGATAAAGTCTTGTCGAACTCATTTTCCGAATCATTTACCAGCAGTTCTGATAAGCATTCGTCTGCGCGGAGGTTAATTAATTGTTTATAATATTATGGCAAATAAATATGCAAGCACTGCTACCTACCTGACTGAAGTTCACTTGGCGCCCCGAGTTGAAGCGCGCGCAGATAGCTGTGCAACGTGTGACGCCCATGTGATTGCTTGTGAGGGCTTGCTGATGCCAGATCGTCAACGTCATCAGGAACCGGTACGATGGCGGACTGATAATCGTCCGGCAAAGCGTCGTTGGATTGCCAGAAGTTTGCATTTATCAGCAATTTACTAACTGGAGAAAAAAGGATTACTTAGATTCAAATAATTGAGCTGTAGAACACAATTACCTATGGCATTTGCTGAACTTGGAAAGGAGAATATGCTGTCGATCCTACTCTCGACATAATCACACTTTTTCCGAACCGTTTCAATGAAAGGTTGGTTTTCCAAACGTGGGCCGGTGAGTATTGACTTCAGTTGACCTGGAATGGGAGTTAAATATTTTAAATCAGTTGCTGTTTATTTTTTTTTTTGATTTTGTCAACCGATTCAACTTTGAATTTTACTTTATATTTTTTGAATTTCACTTTTCTATCGCGTTGAATTTCTTTAATTGATTAAATTAATTTCTTTATTGAATTTCGCTTATTGCAACAAGGTAAGAACACGCTGTCCAGCACTACTAAGACCTTCCTCTTCATTGTCTTAGAGGCAATATATCCTTCTCAAATCTCATCGTGATCGTTCTTCATAAGCTGGTTCAGAGCTACGCATACTATATTTCGCTGGATCAGCACGGATTTATAGTATGCCTAACCGTTCGACGACAACTAATTTGACTTACTTAACTATGTTCGTCATCCACCAAATAGATTTTATTAACACATGCTTATTCGCCGCGTTTGATTAAATGAATCGTCAAATCACAGCTTTCCTGGCTTCGATCCTACCTAACCGTCAAAATTGGAAACCACGTTCCGCGCTCCTTTCCGGTTTGGTATGGTGTTCCCCAAGGAAGTCACTTGGGGCCGTTTCTATTCTTGCTGTATATGAACGATGTCAATTTCATCTTAAAATGCCTAAAACTCTCGTAAGTCGATGACCTGATTAAGCAACAACAAGACGCGCTTTTTCTGCAACAACAACTGGAAGCCTTCGTTGAGTGGTGTCATATTAATCGAATGTCGCTGAATGAATGTTCGATTATCTCATTTGGCCGCAAGCACTCACGCTTCCATTTTGGCTATGCTATGGGAGGCGTAAATCTACAACGCGAGTCGACAGTCAAGGCTTGGGGATTCTGTTGATACAAAATTGACCTTCAAGGATCACGTCGCGTAGGTTGTGTCCAATGCCTCATCGCAACTAGGATTTTTATTTCACTTTGCAAAAAAGTTCAAGGGTGTCTACTGCCTATGCTCCTTTTTTGGGCATAACGCTAAAATTCAGAATTGAAGCAACATGTAACTAATTTTCATTTACTAATGATATTATGCAATTCATTAGACTCCATTCCAGCAGAAGTAGGGTTAAAACTGAGTTTTAGCGTTAGGCCCAAAATAGGACCGTAAGCCGAGAATAGGATCACTAACCCTTTCGCTTAATTGTGCCCCCTATCTTGAAGTATTCGTCCATCATCTGGTCTCCTTACCAGAATAAAATTCATCGCATTGAGGCTATTCAGCGAAAATTCATCCGGTTCGCTCGATTCAACCTACCCAGTTATGAAAATCGTTGTTTGCTAACCGGAGTTACTGGCTTTGTTGGGGATCTTCAGCAAAGCAAAATTGACAGTCCTACGCTTTACTCATTTCATTTATAAATACTGCCTCAAGCTGTATTCAAACGTTATACGATATGAGGAAACCTTTACTCAACCTTTATACAAGCAAATATGGCGAACTGAGTCAGCTACTTATGGCTGTTTGGACGGTTGGGAAAAGCTCTTATTGCATACCCTTTAACCACATGAATATTTCTCATTGTAAAGCATCGTCGCTAATACATTACCGCCATCTGTTGAATACACTGTGGTGGGTAGTACGCTGAACAGATGGCGTTAGTGTGTAAACGTCAAACGCAAGGGAATTAAGTATGCGCACCACAGGTGGCAGTACTACCAACCAGGCTTACTTCCACTCTCTTGCTATAAAAACATGATTTTCTGAATTTTGAAATCATTAGATGTTATAATCATATTTTGTACTTGTTAGATACAAGAAGAGGTTGAAAGGCAAGTGTTTGACACATGAAAACTGTTTTATTCTACAAGGTGAGTCAATATTTAAGTGCAATGTCATCTAAATGTTGAATTAGGCTATTCGCAAGATATTACAATTGATATGCTTACTGAAAATGGCTAAATTCATGTATAAATTCGTGAAACTAAAATTGCCAACATACACCAGTTTTCGAAATACTGCGGGACAAATGCATGGTTTCATGCCAATGAAGCATACATTTAGGCTTTATCTATGTTCTTCCTCTATTGAATTGCAAAGGTTCACGCCTGATGGTTATGCTTTCCACACTACAATTCGCGGGACGCATTGTGCTCCACTTTAGAGTAGCAAATGGTAATGTTAAAAATAACTACTATTTTTTCTAATAAACATACCAGTCGAGCAATCGGGTCGAAAGATGAAAGTTACCTCATAACTTGCATCAATCAAATCATTAATTTTGGCAGTGCTCAGAGATACCAGCTGTTTCAAGAAATAACTTTTCTTGCATTGTTTTCTGCCGAAAATGTTTTTCAATTTTCTAAATATCAAATAACTCTCAGTAAACAACTTTTTACTTCCCAATGGAAACTATATGAACACTTTTTTCTGTGTAGTTTAAGCATATCGGACCGAAATTGGAAGTAAGTGGCTGCCGGATATTTTGAGCTCAAGTCTGGTCCACTTAGAATCCGGACACTTTATTTATTCTACAGCAGCGCCTCTAGTGGTCAAATTTGGAATGTTTAGCAGTGATTTGATTTGAAAGTACACGTGTTTCAGTGGTAATTTTTTTTTCGTGATACGTGCTGTATTAAAAAAATTGTACTAGATGGAAGAGGAGAAAATTGATCCTGCACACCCACGTTGGAAACCTGACGTGACCAATTCGAAATATCGCGAAAAAGTTGAAAATTGCCGTTTCTACCGTGGGAGATATTCTCAAGCAGTTCCGTGATCACAAGTGTGTGACCCGGAAGGTTCAAAGCAAACGTCGTGCTGGAACTTTGGATCGGCAGCTGAACTGGAAGGTGTTGATGCCGATCAAGAGAAACCCAGGACTCTCGGATCGGGATGTCTCCAAAAATACGGTGCCAGTCGTAATACCAACCGGTGAAAACTAATGATTAAAAATTGGCTCACTACTTGACTAGCCTATTGGTCCCAAGTACATCTATAAGCGTACCCCATTCTAGTCTAAATTCTAGTACTACACTATGTTTGTTTTGATTCGCTATGAAAGTTTGACAGATAAAATGAGGGGTTCGTGGATTTTCCTATGTTTCGAGGGGTGCATCGATTAGCTTGGGACCGAAGATAGTACCAGAGCTGAGCCAAAAAGTTGAGCGCGTTTCTTCGGGACCTTCTGGTCTTAGAGTTACCAAAATCAATACGAAACTAACGATTTTAAATTGGCTCACTACTTGACTAGCCTATTGGTCCCAAGCAAATTGACTAACGTACCCCATTCTAGTACTGCACTTTGTTTTTTTTTGATTAGCTATGAAAGTTTGACAGATAAAATGACAGATAATTCGAGGGGTGAATCGATTAGCTTGGGAATAAGAGAACCACCAGTACCACAACTGAGCCAAAAAGTTGAGCACGTTATTTCGGGACCTTCTGCTCATAAAGTTACCTCTATGGAGTCTTAAAGGTACCTCTATGGTAGAAGTAACTTTAAGACCAGAAGGCCCCGAAGAAACGTGTTCAATTTTTTGGCTCAGTTGTGGTACTTTCTTCGGTTGGAAACTAACGATTTAAAATTAACTCACTACTTTACTAACCTATTGATCCCAAGCACATCGATTAACATACCCCTGAGGTAGATAGTTCCGTTTGAATACGGCAGTATGAAAATTGAATAGAAGTTGAAAATAAGCGAAGGGCCATTAATGCGACAGTGCAGTAGACTTATACTTCAAATTTCCGCGTACATCTTACGGGTTAGTGGCGGCCAGGGTAGACGCGACACGATGCGACTCACGCAAGGAATAATAATAAATAATAAGATTCTTTTGAATTGGTCGCGTCGCGTCTACCCTGGCCGTATCCTTAGGCAAAAAGTGTGCGTTTGACTTGCACTGTCGCATTAATTAGGCCTATTCTGCGCGGCGTGTGAGGTGAGGTGACAGTGAAGTGATGGTGAAGTGACAATTGTCACCTCGGGTGAGGTGAGTCTCCATGCAAATCAAATGGAGAGTCACCTCACCCGAGGTGACAATTGTCACTTCACCATCACTTCACTGTCACCTCACCTCACACGCCCTTCACTCATTTTCAACTTATATTCAATTTTCATACTGCCGTACTCTAACGGAACTATCTACCTACCCTTTTCGTAGACCATTCTCTAGCTAATAAATTATCACACTAAAGCTTCATGTTAGATAGCATTTTCAACCAACTCTGAAAATCGCAAACTTCGCGTATGATGAACATAAAACCACTTTGAATGCTTTATAGGATGTTATTGGAATAATCTCAAGCATTTCCTTTACAATAATTTCATTTCACAGAGTATATTTCAGAACTCGTATAAAATAATTTTCTGATTCTCTCTGGGAGTCTCTTGAAAATTTCATTATAACAGTCTAGAAATTCTCTGGAATCCAAAAAATCATGAAATTTATCCTTAGATTTTTACGAAGACATTGTCTTCCGGAATTATATTTAAAGTTCATTTGAATTTTCTTTGAAATTCCCAAGCAATTATCCTTATGATTGTCTAAAATTCTTATCGTGCTCTAAATTCTTCTGAAATTCTGAATGAAAAATTCCCTAAACTTCTCTAGAATTATCCTCTGAGAATTCCTGTGGAATTGTGCCCTCAAAATTCGTTACCCTTGGTATTTTTCACGGATCCTGCAATCCTTTTCACAATCGTTTTGGAATTTTCCACAGAGCTACATAAAATTTTTACTCTGAACACGCACAACTGGCTTATCTAAACTGTCTTAGAGTTCTTTCTAAGACTCCCTTTAATTTTCTCTGAGATATCTTGGTGTTATCCCAAAAATTGATTCTAAAATCTTCTCAAAATTCCTTTGAAAAAAAGACAATTCTAAAATTCGCTAATAGTGAATTTTCAAATATCAGTATCTGCTTTTGTAAACAAACTGTTACCACGAGACAATTAATTTACAGATCAAATCCATAAGCAAATCCACATAGTTGCACCAGGTCCGTTGATGTCGATACCAGATTCAAGAAAATGAAATTGAAATGTAGGGTAAAACAAAACGATCGCTCATTTACATAATATGCCTGCACTATTTATCTAGGAACGCTCATGCTTTCGAGTTAAGAATAACACGCCCACGGGCGTACACGATAAGGCATAATTTTCCCTCTCGGTTTATCCTTAAGGAAGGATATGATTTACTGTTTAAGCGCTACAAATGTTTCAAATTCTTATTTGTTAACCTTCTCAGACTTGAGTAAAATAAACCAATAAACTTAGGAAAATGATAACCAAATCCCGGTTCTAAAAAGGACATAGTACATAAGGCCTCAACATATAAGTTAGGACAAGTGGAATTTTCAGCTTAAAGTTAGGAAACTAGTGAAAAGCCCGGTATTAAAAGGGACATGGACAATTCCGTAAGAACAGGAAAGATTTTTACATAATAATAAATCACTTATGCAATACGTAGACCTAAGATCACCATGTGCAGAAATTAAAAATAAAGTTAAGTTCGAAGCTTACTCCAGGTTCTTCATTGAATCCGAAAAACTCTCGATCTATAGAAGTGAAAACTTCTCTCCTAACGGAGAAAAAAGTAACTTCAAGAAGCTGTTTTTGGAATAGGTGTCACGAAAGCGAAAGACTCTCTAATTGGAGAAGAAAGTAGCTTTCGGCAGTGACACAAACATTCAAACATCAATTTGTTGAAACTCTTGGCTTGCCCACGCAAGCTAACACCACTATAGAGCTATGTTATGTGTCTAAGCACTGCAGCGTGATACATTTTCGAATCTGTAATAAATATTTAGTTAAGTGCGATGGTATCCGCCCCTGTCAAAGCAAACAACAATGCCCAAATTTAGGTTTACCATTGGCAATCGCCACACCGAGAAGCAGATCCGTGGTCAGATCCTCATAGTTCGCTATGCACACATCCAGCAGTTTATCCAATCGTGTCAGCAATGCATCCGGTCCAATCAGCCTCCGCCACGGTGCATCCGCCGCCGGAAGTCCGTCACTTATTCCTTCACCATGGTCACTGAACACCACCGAAATCAGCAGTAATTTCAACACTAAAGAACCCATACTAATCTACGCTTCTCCGTCCGCTCAGATACACGACCGAATTTGAAGTGAGCTCCAATACCGCATCCACTCGCATCTTAAGTTACACAGCAGCTAGCGGAAGAAAAATCGGCATCGAGATTTTATCCTTGTGCGCTCTTCCGTAGCCATGGCAGGCAGCTCCTTGATCCGCAGACCAAGATGAGGCAGCGTGATAGCAACGGTTGATGCTTATTCCTCGTCGAACGTGTACGGAGCAAAACATTGACAAACGCATGCGTTTGCTTTTGGCAATCTTCTTCGAGTGGTGCTGCTGCCCAGGGGGTGTGGAACGAAATAAAAATTTATTTTCTCTGGATTAAACTAATCCCTGGCTAATAGAAAAACAATTTAGGATTTCACTTACTTCTGGCTCCGTCGCTGTCGTGTTCCGTTTGGTGGTTCTTGACGAAGATGCTGTGTGTGGGAACGTAAAAGTAGTGCTATCGCTATGCTCTGCTGTGCAGCTTACATATTTCCGCCAGCAGTCATTGTTGGGTATGATTCGCGAAGATGGTGATTTAGCTATCACCGGCTTGAAGAAGGGGGATTTTAAGCCACCGCAAGTTTTTATTATTGCTTGGCTACCACTGGCCCGCTGGTGTCGATCGCCAACCGCAGTCCATCGATTGTTACAAATGTATGCAGAGGTTGTGGGTGGACTAACGGTAGTTTGAAAGCAAGTATTATACTGCATAACATAGAAGGCAAAGTATTTTGATATTTCTTCAAGGGAGCATTCTTGAGTATCCTAAAAGCAAGTCATTTTCCAGAATTAAAAAAAAACCGTTGAAAATCAACCAAAAACTTAATTTAGCTAAACTTAGAAGCATACCTGTCCCATCTATTGAACCAAGCATCCCTCAGATATTCACAATACATTTCCTTTCTAAAGCCACCGCAATCAGCTGCCAAGTAATGCAACCAAATCCACGCCGGGGGAGGGCCCCCTTCAGTTTCGGATAGGATCATCAAAACAAAAACACTTATTTCAATTTCTTCCACTTGATTTCTATTTTTGTCTCATTCTCTCCTTCCGTCGTGATTCATCCGAACGCACGCACACGCTTCTTCTCTCTTTCACTCCCGAATGGATATAAATTACAATTACAATTTAATTTGCTAAATTTATCCCCCACGCAATCCGTCTCCCTCGCATCGACCGTAGGCAGTATATGGAAAAATGGAACTAGTGGGGTTGGATTAAGGAAAGCTTTGTGGTGTAGAAGTTTTATTTAGACACAAATGGCATCACAAGTTTCTTTGCGATTCCCAAACGGATTATTATTATTCCGGTAACAAACTTAGCTAGGTTAGGAAATTATGTGAGAATTGGCATGGTTTTCTGAAATCTAAAACATTGGATAGTTAAAATCATCGTCGGCGTAGTTCGTTTCCGGTTCGTCCAGCGGAATTTCCTCCGGATTCCTTCTGGGACCCGGAGCCGGCGATGGATCGTCGTAGTCGAAGTCGTCTTCAAACTTTCCATCGATCGTTATCAGTTGGATGATTGCTCTGAAATGGAAGAAACAGTTGTTGAAATGATATAGATATCCTTCTACGAACTCCTTTGCTTTTAGTGATAGATGGAGCACTAGAATGAAAGCAGAATAACTTAAATCACAGCTCTTCAGACACAATGTATGAGTTTCTTCGAAACGTTCCTCAAAGACGACCGACGCTCAAATCCCAAACGCCCTTCTTTAAAACATGAGCAGTTCTGTCGGGTTGTACTGTAGTACAAATGAAGTTTTAGTTTTAGATTTAAAAATGGACGTTGGGAAAATTTGTAAGTCTTGGTCTAGACAAGTAAATACATTGAATGGGACCCAAGAGGGAAATAATATTGTCACCGACAAACCGACATGAATGACCATAGCAAAAACAATAAAATTTCTGACCAAAGCACACTACTGACATCTGGCTCCGTGCTCGCGGGAAATATTAAGCTAAGCCATGAACCCGCATGCAAAAATTATGAATTGGTTCGTGTCTGATTTATTCTGGACAAATTATTTTTATCTAGATAAAAAAATCCTATGGTATTGACAGTTCGGAACACTGCACATTTAAATCAGCCATTTACGATTTTCGGGAATAAGTCAGAATTAAGGGTCACGTCGGTTTGTCGGTGATATTGTAATCGCACTGAAAATCGGCCAATACCGCCGATTTAAAGTCTGTTCCAGTTAGTATTTGGCCGCTTCTTTTTAATAACTGTAGCGTCTCTAGTTGTAGAAACTTTTGACAGCGTTTTGATCCGGAAGAATTGTTTATTTAGTAGTGAACATTTTATCAAGATTCATATACTTGTTCAAAAGTTATCGAAGATGGAACGTGACAGACGTGAAAAAATTCTGCACACTCACATTTTGATTCATATTATGTTAGATTCAATCTGTGTGGCTGTGTTTCATATGATGAATTTTAACTTAAATTTGACAGATGGGAAATTTTCAAATAAACCTTCTATTGTACCAGACTTATTTCTGGCAGACCAGGAATCAATTTAGACAAACACCTTCTCACACGATTTTCGAAGATTATAATTTATTTTCGAAATGTCAAATTTTACTAAAATAAATTATGATGTTCGAAAATACCTCTGTTGAAATAATTCTGGTAGAATAACAGGTTTATTTGAAAATTTTCCATCTGTCAAATATAAGTTAAAATTCACCAAATGAACCGCAGCCTTAATGTAGGGAGGTTGACAGCTGTAGTATACTCCTAGTCCCACCATCGAATGGCATTTGCTAGATAAAATGAGGTTGCGACATAATTAAATCAATAAGCTCTGCAAACAACGTTCTTTGAAAACAACTTTATGAATATGTTACTGGAAAAAATGCAAAGATTAAAAAGGAGGACATTTCGGGCAAAAGGAGGAAGTAGAAAAATTATTGAAAAAGGATTACATCGACAGTGAGCATGCATAAGGGCGAATACGCGATGATCGATTCTCTTCATCGATTTTCTCTTTGCATTGCTACAGCTAAGCGAAACATTTTTCTAGAATTTGCTCAATGCAGAGTAGTAATAGGTTGTATTGGCTATCAAAAGCAGCAGCAAACGCACCGAGAAACGTTAAATCTAGCAAGTGCATGCTCACTGTCGACTTGGTTTCCATGACATTTCTTCTGATGTTTGCTTTTGACTCCTTCGTTCCAAACCAGCTTCCTCTTCTATGTGTTTACTTTTGACCCCTTTGTTCTTGAGCTTAAGCTGGGTTTAGACAGGGCAAGTCAATTGATCAACTCAGTTGAATTCAATTGGCTTGCAAAGTTGAGCCTGGTTCAACTTTTTTCAATTCAAGTGAGTTGATCAAGTCAGTTGAATGGCATGGTTTACACGTTCAATTCGCGTTCAAGTCAGTTGAATTCAACTGACTTGATCAATTGACTTGCCCTGTTTAAACCCAGCTTAAGCTCAAGAACAAAGGGGTCAAAAGTAAACACATAGAAGAGGAAGCTGGTTTGGGACAAAGGAGTCAAAAGCAAACATCAGAAGAAATGTCGTGGAAACCAAGTCGACAGTGAGCATGCACTTGCTAGATTTAACGTTTCTCGGTGCGTTTGCTGCTGCTTTTGATAGCCAATACAACCTGTTACTACTCTGCATTGAACAAATTCTAGAAAATTGTTTCGCTTAGCTGTAGCAATGCAAAGAGAAAGTCGATGAAGAGAATCGATCATCGCGTATTCGCCCTTATGCATGCTCACTGTCGAAGTGTTATATATATCGATGAACATTTCAAAAATGGTCCTATCTGCTCTGTTCGATTCTCTTCATCGACTTTCTTTTTTGATAACCCCTGCTATGCAAACAGATTTCGTGTTATTTTTATCACATATCTTGATAAAGGAGGTTCTTATCTAGCGTCCAAAACGTCAAATACAACAGGGAAATGTTTTGCTGCTGAGCTATTAACGAAAGAGAAAGTCGATGAAGAGAATCAATCAATGCAGATAGGACCTTTTGAAATGTTTATCTAGAGTATGTTCCAAGGTGGGATTGGTGAGAGCGAAATCGAAAGCGAATTTTGAGAACGACGAAATTAAAATCACTCAAGTCTAGTAACAGAATACCTAACTAGTTAACAGAATACCCCTGGGGGGAGGGGGTTGGTTATTTTGTTTTAATTGAAAAATGCGACAACACACCTAACTACGAGTATAACTTAACCTAACGTGCTAGATCACGTATGATCTGATGATCTGATCTTAGGCAGATGTCTCTGAACCTTTCCAGGATGAGTACTCTCCATTCTTCTAATGTCTGAATTCTAGCCAGGAGGTGGATCTCAGAATGTTGACTGTTTAGGATCATCACTCAATGGCAGGTAGAATTAGTTGTCTATAAACAGCAAGCTTATTTTTCAGCGATAAGGTGGACTTCGTATTGATAAGCGGATACAGTGATCTTATCAAGATGTGGCACTTGGTATTAGTTTTGTCAATGTGCTCCTTGAAAAGAAGCTTGCTGTCAAGTGTGTAAAGGGGATCCTGCTAGGGTTCTCAAAATTCCGGCTTATGCGCCAAACGAAGCAGTCGTCTGCCGAGAATTGCAGATATATTTGCCCAGCTAGCAGTTTTCCTCAACCCAGCAGAATCCACCTATCAGTGTTTACCCAACAACCAAACATCTGCCCAATTCCCAAGTCCAAAATCCTTAATCCGTTCAATTAAATTTCCCAATTAAGTAGTAGTAAGTCTTCCAATTTGATTGATTAACTAGTGAATACGGTGTATCAGTGAATTTATTAAAATCAAGTTTTAAAAGAATACTTTTAATGAGAGAAAACGAATAGTAAATTTGATGTAAATTTTACAGATTTAATTTTAATTTTAATGTTTTTTTAATAAAAGAAACTTTACAATCCCCTGCTCTGTCTCCTATCAGAGCTAGCTTTCCCCTGAGTATTGATCAGTGTATTTTCCCGGCACATAAGTGAGCTAACGGGACCATACACCCTGATCACTATTCGGTAACTACTTGTGACGTCACTCCCTGCGTGTTTTCCTGATCGTGAGTCGTCCTAACTCCCTAGAGTCGGTTTATAATGAGTCACGCCAAGAGAAAAACAGTTGAACTCGCATCACGGTTTTCGAAAGAATCCCTTTTCTTTTAACTTGGCAACAGATGACTTCTGCATCAACTTCAAATGACTTCTAGCGAAAAAATTAACGGCTGTAGTAAATCATTATATCAGTGAAAAATAGTAGAAATTGTCATTACTGATCATTACAAAACGTATCGCATGACAAATGTAATGCTCACTGCGTGTATATGATCATTTCTTCGATTATATTTAATATTTAATTGCAATACCTTTCGTGGACCTTTCATAGCATCGTAATGCTTGTTTACTTTGCACGATAGGTAGTCGGTTTGACAGTTCAATAGGTAGACTTGGCTTCGCTCTTGGCGTGACTCATTATACACCGACTCTACTAACCCCCTACCTTTGGTTTTTCCCCTACTGAATATAATCAGTGAGTCCCTGGTTTAGCGGTGTGTAATTTGTGTGATGATGATGATGGTTCGCTTACTTACGATTGTTCTGCTGGCTACCTGGTCCGAACCCCACTTCGTCCTTTCGATGACGGTTGATGACGATCGCTCTCGACCGTGCAGGGAAAACCACTACGTGGACAGCGCCGTGTAGGGCGGTGTCGGCTAGAGGATTTTGCTAGAGCCAGGATAAACGGCCAGTTGGGCACCCACGCTCGATGGATACCGACGTTCGGATGGCTATCGCTGGCCTGATGGGTACCGAAGCTCGGTGGATACCGACGCTCGGATGGATAGCGTCGTTCGGATGTCTATCGACGCTCAGTTGATACCGGCGGGGCCGTTCGAACCGTGCTGAACTAGGCTGCTTTCGGTGAGTGACGTTGACGGGGTGGTATCGTACGGAGGGCCTCCGATTTTTAGGTACGTGAGTCCGGCTGGTCACGCTGGCGTTGGGAGTCTTTCCCACGATTCAGGCAGTCACTTTTGGCACGTGACGCACGTGGGCCGAGTTAACCTTCCGATGACCATCGCTCTCCGAATGCCCTATAGTGGTACGCAACCACGAGGCGATAGGGACACCCAGGGTAACCATGCCTGATACCACCAACCAACGGGATCGGATTCGCTACCGATCAAAAGTCACTTTTTACCGAGATTCCTAACCTCGGATGCCTCGGTAATGGGTCGACAAAGCAAGCAACAAAAGCCCAAGTTGCACTAGCCACCTCCTCGTGGCTTCTGTTGAGAAAAATCTCCTTAGCATCACACACACTCATTTGAATGATTTCCATTAAATTACATGTTCTTCAATTCTTTCTTCTTCTACGTTGATTTTTTTTATTACTCCGACTCACTCCTAAGCAATCTTTTCTCTATAATCAATTCAATTCAATTTCACTTATTAAATTACTCTAATTTTCTTTTCAATAAAAACGCTTACTTTAACTATCAATTTTTTTCAACACGCGACTCACGTTTTTTTCAGGCGTAACCAACTC